GTTGAAGGGCCCTCATCTGTTTGGGGTCATCAACTGTGAGTTGCTTCTTTATCTCACATTTAGGGCCATTTTTGCATGCTAGTTTTTCCCTATTTGTGTTTGCTGTTTGGCCTCGCTTAGAACTGAAAACATGCTTGTTTTGGGGCTTCCTTGAATCTGTCTTCACATGTCATGATCAAATAATGCATGCTTGATGTAGCTACAAGTCATTTCATGTGCTTAATCTTGCATTTCGGGACCATTTTCATGCATCGGGTGCCATGTGTTTATGATTCGGGGCTGTTTTGGGTCATGTTTTGCTGCTGAAACTTGCATGTTTGTATGCCATTTTTCATGCCTTGCCATGTCTTGTTAGAGTGGCATTTTGTGCCTTAGGGTCGGTTCTCGGTTTGCGTGCATGTGTGCACGCATTCCGAGTTGTCTCATTTTCATCGTATGGCCTCTTATGTGAGTGTGGCTGAGGTCCACTCATGTTGGTGTAAGCCCATATTGCATTGTGTATGTCATTTCATTTCATAGCATTGTGTATGCTAGGTTGTATGTTAGCGCATTGTGTATGCCATATTACCTCATGCATCGTGTATGCCATTTCATAGCATTGTGTATGCTAGGTTGTATATTAATTGCCTTCATGCATATCATGCATATTGCATCGTGCTTGGGATAGGGGTTAGCCCGAGCACGGGAAACGAGGTACGTTTCGTACTCCGAGTGACGGAACGTGTCTCAATTCCAAGTCACCGACACTCCAGATTATCCATGATGGAGTTAGGTTTTGGTTAAGTTTTCATGTGCATTCGTTCTATATTGAGGTGCACAATTCGACCCCTCAGCCATCATGCATCGAGATGCGTGATTGGTGACACGAGGATCGAGGCAGGCATACATTTGTGAAAATACATTGCTATGTCCCTTTTCCGCTCTCTGTTGCAGCAAATCAAGAATTAGCAACCTTTCGGAGCTTGGCACGCTTTCCAAGAATAATTATTAAACAGAGGCTAATCGGGGCATCCCAGTGGATTTCCGCGCAAGGCAGCCCAGACATGCATCGTTCAGGATTATCCATGATGGAGTCTAGGTTTTGTTTTGTTTTCATGTGCATTCATTCCATATTGAGTTGTGCAATTCGACTCCTCGGCCATCATGCATCGAGATGCGTGATTGGAGGCACGAGGATCGAGGACTACACTCCCCAAAGGGTAGTCATGCATACATTTGTGAAAATACATTGCTATACCCCTTTTCCGCTCTCTGTTGCAGCAAATCAAGAATTAGCAACCTTTCGGAGCTTGGCACGCTTTCCAAGAATAATTATTAAACAGAGGCTAATCGGGGCATCCCAGTGGATTTCCGCGCAAGGCAGCCCAGACATGCATCGTTCATCGGAGTCAAGGCAGTCCCTGGCTTGCATGCCAGTTTATTTTTCTTAAATTAATTTGTAAATTAATTAGGAATTTGTATATATTTGGACTGTATTATTTGGACTGTATTACTCGGACTGTACTATTCTTTCGGACCCTCTGTGCGAGGGCATAACTGTAATAAGTGTGCGTGTGTGTGTTGTATGTCTTCCAACCCCACGTCTTTCTCCCTTTTATTTACCCGCTTATGATGGTTAGATTAGGGCATGTTTCAATTAGCATACAGTATGATAGCATGTTTGCATTCATTCATCTGTTTTGCATGCACCGGGCTCGGCGCATCATACTAACTGCATTGTATTTTCAATTCCAAGTTGAATACATGTTAGCTGTAGCATTTCATATGCCATGTTTAGAATAGCCGAGCCTGCTATAGTTGCATTTTTGCATGTGTTGCATTAGGCATTTCTGTATAATTAGGATCATGCATGGACTTCTAATTAGCTTCTTTTTTGGCTTGGAGTACTCGGTAAGTTTTGTGCTTTAGCATCCTTGCATGCATGTGAGTGACTGCCATGAATAACATGCTAATTGCTTATGTGATATATCTGCTTGAATGCCTGTGGGTGAAGGTTGGGTTATCTGGATTGGAACAAATCATTGATTGTGAGTTTTAAGCCCACTAGATAGTGACAAAACCATCTTTTCCCAAGCCCACCTGAGGGTGGCAAAATCTGCATTTCAAGCCTACTTGCGAGTAGCAAACCATCTTTCAAAAACAAACATGAAATGTTTTGTTCCAATTCAGGCGACCCAGTCTATACTTGTATGCTGTGCGCATCACATAGTAATCTAGGATAATAACCGGAATAAGAACACACAACATTTTCAAAATTCGATATCACGGTTAGTAGAGGCCGATCTTTGATCGGGCGAGCGGGGGTGCTCACGAAGTGACCTTCCCCAATCGTACCCAAGTTCCCGAGCCGAGACAACTTTGGTGATGACGGATATGTGGCCTTAGGCAACGAGTCAGGGTTTCCTAAATTTCCCAAAATAAAACATTTAGGTGGCGACTCTGTATCTGGCAAAGCAGTCCATATTTGGCACTTCTTTCAAAAAAAATCTGTTTTCTCAAAAACGATTTGCCGGATTTGGACTCTTTGGTTCAGACTTAGAACCGTGACAATTTTAGAGTCCTGAGCTGTAGAGACCCCAAATGAACAGAACGGGACTCACCCTCCCGGGGCGTTCGGGGACGTCTACAATTGTTCACAACAAGTAGCTATTTGATACTTTAGAAACACTATGTGATGTTATTTATATAGTAGTTTAAATCAATAGTGTAGCAAAAAACATTATAGATTGGATATAATGAACTCATTATTTTTAAGTAGTTGACATACCACTTAGTATGATTTGTGATTTTATATGCTTTGAGCATCACATAAGTAATCTTATATGGTACTCTAAGACTGTTTAATAATTTTCATTCAAAACACATCATTTATAAGTAATGTCATCTTTTTAATATTTTTCTGTCAAAATAAAAATTAAATAGATTTTATAATAATTTGTGCTATAAATGATGTGTTTTTATTTTTTAAAATTAGAAATTTTGATCCATAATTTTTTGTGCTAAAATTATAAACTTACATCATCATCCCACACCGAGCTATTCCACGCTATTATAGAATTTTGATTTGTTCTTATTAATAATGAATATGTAATTTTTTGTGTTTAAATTTATCTCAAAAATTATGATTTTCTTAATGTTGCTCATAATTTTTTTTAAAATAAAAAATCATGATTAATAAGTATCCTCTCTAAACTAATTTTTTTACTCCGCCACTACTAATAAGATACTTAAATATTTATCATAAATAACAAATTATATGTATATATATATATAAACGATATGATTTAGTTGTAAATTGCAACCAGGAGTATAAAACCTTTGACCAAATCGTGAAATATGATTCACAATATTTTAATAATCATGATTAAATTGTGCATTGAGAAAACTAAATCAAATAGTGCGCTTTGGTCTAAGTCGGATGGATTTGTCATTTTTTCAATTTTTTTACTTGGTCTTATGTCTATTTTCTCATGTGTTGCCCACACGAGGTTTTTTCACCGGATGAAAAAGTAAGGCAGGGATGAATTTTGCTTTTTCTACGCCCGGGTCTTTGTCTCCATCTCGTTTATAGCTACTAAATATATTAATATAATATATCATTTAATTTTTTTTAATATGATAAAACTAAAACCAAAATTAAAATATGATACTTGTCATTCATTTTTACTTATTTATTTCTCATTTTATATTTTTAACTTTTATTAATTATAAATAACTATCTATAATATATTATATTATTTATAATTTTTATTAGTATTTTATTTTTTAAGTTATAAAACTAAAAAAATGAGGCGAGGCAAGGACAACAAACCCGTCCCGTGGTCATCTCTAAATATAAATATTGATAAACATTTTCTATATAAAATTTTAGAAAAAAAAAATACCGAAAAGACTAAGATCTCGCTTGAAAATATATTATTTTAATAACTTTTTAACTTTTTATGAAATAATATACAGAAAGATAAAAAGAGTGATGTAACAATCTATAATGACTTTTTTACTTTTTAACCAAAATATTTAGTCCTCAAATGAAGCACAAGTCCATTTGGTGTACCCTCACATAGTAGACGTTCCAAAAAATACAGGGTGGACGCTGGCTTGTCGCATTTTGAGTTGGTATCAAAATTATATTAATAACCTTTGGCCCTTGCCAACCTCCCATCACCATGGTAACTATTTTTAGCTACTACTTTAAACAATTGACAACTACCTTCGGTCACTATATCCAACCCTTTAGCTACTACTTTAAACAATTGACAACTACCTTCGGTCACTATATCCAACCCTCTCGACAACCATTTCTCGCAACTTCTCATTTTCATTTGTTTTAAATTTAAAATTTTAAAATACTTATGTATCAAATATATACATGTATATTTTAATTTTTTACCAAAATAAAACATAAATATATAATATTTTTTTGTAAATTAAAAACAATAAACTGTAAACATAATTATTTTAACACTTTTGCACTATGTATGCATCGCAAGTCCAGTCAACCGGAATTGCACCGTCAGGTTCTACTTTTTGCTTACACATGTGACATGTCCAATCTTGAGTTCTTCCACGTCAGCACAACTTCGTCAAGTCGCCGCTTCTCAACTCCCTTCAACTGTCACGGTTGAGAGGTAACCATGTACACATCAGTTCGCACCTCAACCGTCCGATCTTAAGAACAAGCAAACAATGCAACAGATAAGAAGCATGAGCATTATCAGATGACAGTTATTATCCCCAACCCAGAAAACAAGTTTAAGCGTAACTCTCGCCTCGTAGGGGTATTTACGTAAAATGGCATCACTCCAAGTTCTAAAATCGAGCGGGTAAATGTAGTTGAATTAACAAACATTTGAACTCTGCAACAAACTTCTAGCCTCCAATTCCTTATAATAACCTCAACAGAGCAACCCAAAGCCTCTCTCTTTCTCTGTGTGTGTGTGTGTGTATGAGAAGGTTTCAAGAAGTTGAGTCTTGGTGAAGAGGAAGCACAAGCTTCAACCATGTCGATCAGAGTCTTTGAGTCCTGCAAGAAGAGGAGACGAACCCCAAAACTCTATGGACTCCACACATTCGCCAATCCCGGTTGCCCAATCTCACCCTCCGGTCCCTTTCGCGACAATGTCAGAGGGTTTCTTCGAGAATGCGCAGAGCCCGAAGGCTACAATGTGGAAGGTATGCCTGTCTGGTGCACATTCCTTGTTCAGGAAAACAGGGGATTTCTAGTTCCTTTGTACACCATTGAAGAGAGTGTCAAGCATTCTCTGAGTCCCTTCTGCGATCACTGCCGCAGCAATGGTGAGATTCAAACTAGAATTCGATTCCATGTTCATTGTTTCTTTGATTTCAAAATTGGGTTTTTTTTTTTTTTCTTCAGTATTTGATTCGTCAATTTAGGGTTTCTTGGGTTTAACTTTTTTGTTGTAGGTTGGAGTCATCATTTTGTGTCGAAACGAAAGTATCATTTGATAATTCCAGTGGATGATGAGTGGAATAAGCCCTTGGATGATGGTGTTTTTGACCAGCAAACCCATCTCTTGCATGGGTTGATTCACTGTAATGGGTTTGGTCATCTGCTCTGCATCAATGGCATCGAAGCAGGGTCTAAGTACCTCTGTGGTAGAGAAATCATGGATCTCTGGGATCGTATTTGTACAAATCTTCGTGCCCGGTAACGAAATTTTCTGAATGAATTAAGTTTTTATTATGTTTAAGAACGATAAATTATCTGAATTGTTCTGGGTTATTGATGTTTTGAAGGAAAATAACAGTGGTGGATGTGTCAAAGAAGCGGTTGATGGATCTTCGGTTGCTTCACGGGGTAGCTTATGGACACCCTTGGTTCGGTCGATGGGGTTATAGGTTCTGCCATGGAAGCTTTGGAGTTACAGAGCACAGGTACGAAAGGGCAGTTGAAATTCTCAGCTCAATGGAACTCGATAAGACCATCCAAGATTTCAACACAACGAACAGATACAGAGATCTCAAGCACATCATTCGTTATTACAGAGATTTGAGTGAAACCCGATTGATCACAATCAGAGATCTTCTAAGATTCATGCTTACTCTCAAGTCCCGAGTTCCATTTCAGAGAAATTCAGCCATTACTGCTGCACCATTAATGTCTTCTTCGAAACCTTTAACCAGAACAAGTCATCAAAACAAGGTTGTGGTGAAGGAAAGGCCTATGAAGTACAGAAAATTTTCTACTGTAGCTGCCAATTTAGACAGCCGATGGCCTGTGAGAAGATTGGAATATGCAGCAAATGTGGTTGTCGATGCATTGAAAGAAAAGAGAGCAACAAACAAGTCTGGCAATGCTGGGATGACCAGGCAAGAAGCACGCGATGCAGCTCGCCTGCACATTGGGGACACGGGTTTGATTGATTACGTACTGAAATCGATGAACAATGTCATCGTAGGAGGCCTGGCTGTTCGTCGTGCTGTGAACCCATCAACTCGGGTGATAGAGTATACAATCCAGGAGCCTGAGAGTGGTGCTCACGGAAATTATCAAGAACCAGAACCAGAAATAGAAATAGTCCCCAAGCCACTCTCTACAACAGCTATAGTGCCCGGGGTTGATGTTTACAGTGATGTGGCTTACCTGTATAACAATGTACTATTGGGCTTTCCAGGTTCGGTAGTGATTGGATTGGCTGTTCAGACAATTCTGGACAGCAAGCAGTTTGTGAAAGAGTGGCCATTCAAGGACGAAGAGGACGAATTACTGAGATTCGTTTGTCAGGTAATTCCAAGTTTGAGTGATTTGGAGTCTGACCCGACAAAGGAAATCCCTCCTGGCGAATACATTGTACTTCCACTGTATGCTACAATTGGAGACCTGAAAGCAGAAGTGCAAAGTGCAATGAGGGACACTTACTGTGGTACTGAACAATTAGTGGTAACAGAAATTGAAGGAATGGAGGGAATAGAGGATGTGGAGGTTCTGTTTGGTGCGGTTGAGTCGGGTTCTCAACTTTGGATAAGAGGGATTGGGATGGATTTGGATATGGAGCTGAGGTATGAAGGAGGGGATGACAAGTGGACTGTGAAATGCAAGTGTGGGGCCCAGGATGATGACGGGGAGAGGATGGTGGCGTGTGACATATGCGAAATATGGCAGCACACGCGGTGCAGCGGCATTGAGGATGCTGAGGCTGTGCCACCACTGTTTGTGTGTGCTGGTTGCTGTGCTTCTCTAATGCCATCCAGAGCCCAGCCTGCTTGCTTTGAGTTTGAGGATTTTGGGGCTTCAACTCCAGTGGCTGAGCTTGGGATGGAGACCCTGTACTGAGTGAATGAGGACTAACATTTACTGCTATGGATGTTGATGACTGACCATGGGCTGGTTACACATTTCCATAGTTGATTTTTTTTTTTTGTTGTATACTGTTCTTGTAATTGTAGTTAACAGTGATATTCAATTGTAAGAAATATGATCAATTCTTTGACATCTAAACAAGAAATTCAATAAAAAAAGAAAATTCTTTCAGTCACACATGATGATGAGTGTGAGGCCTTTTCCATTTTCCCCTTTTTTTTTTTCCTTCTATCTTTTTTCCCTCCTTTCTATATATGCATCGATTAGGATATTGCCAAATGATTTTGTGGATTACTAAAATGAAATCACATGTCACCTTTTTTTTTTTAAGTTGATGTGAAAATGAAAGAATTTGAAGAATAATTTGCCAATTTTTTTGAAGAATAATTTGACAATTTTTGTTTCTGCTTTTTATTGTAAACAGGAAAAATGTGAGCTAGGTATATCAGTACGTTGCACCATAACGTTTGCCAACTTGTCACAGTAACATTCACAGTGGAAAATTTTAGAAATATTTAAATTTAAAATTTGTGTGTGTGTGTGTGTGTTTTTTTTTTATAATTCAAAAATACTGTCCTTAATTTTCTCATGCTTCCATCACATGAAGCCTTCTTCACAAATTAAATTACAATTGCTCTATAACATCACCAATTCTCTTTTCTACAAGGTTTATTTTTATTTTTATTGATAGTAATATTTTGATGAACATCTTTAAACAGATTATTATTTACTTTTTTAATAAAGAAGTAAGTAACTATTGAGAGCCCATTGTTGAAATTTGAATGTTGATGATGGTGTTTGTGAGGGGGAAGGAGATTAGTGTTGGAGGTTGGGTTTTGGACATGAAGGGTAGAGGCCATCCGTGTGGGATAATGGTGCTAGGTGGCTCTGGGGTGGTGGTGGGCTAGCTACCATAGTTGTTGAGAGAAAAGAAGAAAGGTGAGGTGGCCTGGTTTCATTTTTGACAGAGGTATTAAAAAGGGCAATAATGTTAGGGATCATGAACAATATATCATGAAATCCATCATTAAGATTTTCATCCCTTGATTAGTGTGTGGCGTTTTATTGTGTGGATAATCCGTGGAGAATATTTCATGATTATTTTCATGATATTTTTTTCATAATCCCTAACATTACTCTAAAAAGTTGTGGTCAATGACATAGTCAGAAATTTAGTGAAAGGGGGCACAAAAATTAATGACAACATTGATATATTTGTTACCTACTATGTCAAATTCAATGTAGTTAAAAAAAATACAATAATAGAATATAATTTTTGTAAATTAGAAAAATATAATTGAGTTGAAATCAAATATTTCATTAAATTTGACATTTGAAAATAAATTTTATATTTTTTCATATACTTCTTGTTTTTAAGTTGAGTTATTATTAAAATAATTTTGATATGAATGTGAAATGACATGAAATAATACCCATGCCCTATTATAGGATGACTATACATTTTTTATTAAGATTTGCTTAATGAGACCATAAATCTTAATGAGACCATAGAAATAATGGTTGACAATATTTAAAATGATACTCCATCTGTCTCAAAATATTAATCCCTTATTTCATTTTTTATTGTCTCAAAATATTAGTCCCTCTTAAAAAATCACGTACAAAAATAATATAAATTTTTTATTTTGTCATTTTTTTAAATTCATAAATAATATAAAAAGTACAATTATGACATTGATATTCCCTAAAAAATGTACTATAATTTTCAAAAATCAACTTTTTTAAAAATATAATAATTGTGCTATTAAAAAAAAGTTGAATTCTTTAAAAGGGACCATTATTTTAGGACAGAGTAAGTAGAATTTTTTTTTTATATTAATAATGTGTAAGGATTTTTACTTTTTAACGAGTACACTAGCATTTATTGACAAAATAAAAAGAACAATGTTAGTACCTCAAAAAAATTATTAAAATTTTTACAAAATACATATCCCTATGTAAGAATTGTATAAAAATTTTGACAATTTTTTAAAGATGATCTCTAATATTTTTGAAAAAAAAAGAAGCTCAAAATCATTAAAAAAAGTTAATAAGAATTTCACTTCAAAAAGTAATGCGAGATATATTTGAAAGAAATCATGACTACATGTTGTTTTGTTGCGGTAAATTTTATGGGTTATTTACATTGCGATTGGCAAAATCCTTTCAACTAAACTTAGCATTTAAATATACCCACCCCAAGGTGGCCTAGTGGTAAAGGTGTACACGTGACTGTCTGGATAAGGCGCACGGTAACAGATTCATTTTTTTTTAGGATTAAACTTAGGATTTAAGCAGGAGCTGCGGCAGTGAATTGCTGTGATTACTCTTTCAAGAATTAGTCGGATAAAAAGACCACTAATGACATGACACTCAATAAAAAAAGAAAAAAAATACAACACCAAGACCAAAATATCAAATCATCATGATGGGGCCTACTGCCACATCATTGGTGCTCCCACTCATTTTCTTTAAACTTAGGATTTAAGCGAGAGCTGCGGCGGTGAATTGCTATGATTACTCTCTCAAGGATTAGTCGGACGGGTCAAAAACTAGCACCCGAATACCTTGGTTATCAAAAAAAACAAACAAAAAAAAAAGCTATATAAATACCTTTTTAAAAATAGATATAAAAAAAAAATGAATAAGTTAAGAAACCACACATTGATCTAATTTCTTCAGTTTCCAAATAACTTACTTCTAGTGAGATTTTGAAAACATAGGGTGAATTAGTTAGGAGTTGTTTCATTGGTAATGCCTTATCGTCCTTGGAGAAAAGAGCCGGAATGTTGGGGATCGGAGATATACAGTTCAATCGTTACCGGTTGGGGGGTCGAGTTGTTGTTTGCTTCACTATCATCCTCTGCTCTTCAGGTCTCTCTCTCTCTCTCTCTCTCTATATATATATATATATATACATATATGTTATTAAAATTGACTAATTTTAAGCAACAGTACACAATCCACATGAAAATAAAAAGAATAAAAAAATTATTTAGCTTTTCCATCAATAAGGTAGATGCCATGTCCATGAATAAGGTAGATGGCATGTATTTATAATTGATTCATGATACCATTTAGGAAATGATATAAATAAAGAAATAATACTGAATCACATAATTACAGATTATATACATAATACTAGAAATAAAAAGTTTCTATATACTTTTATTTCTATATTCAACACTCCCTTTAAGCTGGTGTGAAGATATTCAACAATCGTAGTTTGCCAATGGATGACTGGAAGAAACCGAAAAAAACTCAACGGTTACTCCAAATAAATGCTACCGAACAAATCTGGTAGTCTATTAAATAAAAAAAGCCAAAAAAGTGTTTAATACATCAGCATTACACCTTAGAAAGGGGAAAAAACAGGGACTGAACTATTCTAGAAGAGCTGCCGAAGCATCTATGGCCAGGAAACACCCTGGTTGGCAGCCAACAAGACCCTGGTCGGTATCAGAGGCCGGAGCTAATGCCGGGAGATAGTTTATGGTCGTGTGGCCGGACTGTTGTAAAAACTGGTCAGAACTAATGTCGGGATAGTTTACGGGATCATACCGGGCCGTTGTAGGAACTAACTGGAATCAATGCCAGAACAATTTAAGGGGTCATGTCGGACCGTTGTAGAGACTAACCAGAATCAATATTGAGACAGTTTCAAGGGGTCATGTCGGACCGATGTAGAGAACTAGATATTGTACCACCAAGCGTGGCACACAAATAACTTATGACGTGGTGCTAAACGATGATGACAACAGATGATTGAGTGCGCTAAGAGGCGGTTTTTTAAAAAGTGTACCAAGGGGGCGGCTTTGGTGGTGCGCTAGAGGGGCTGGCTTTAGTTGTGCGTCAGAGGGGGCGACTTAGGTAGTTCACATGGTATATCACCATACTCACCATGATATAGGTATAATACCCCCCTCAAACTCAAATAGGTTTGAAAATAGAAACCTATTTGAGGTTGAAATAGAGGGAAAGACAAAGTGGAACAAAAATACACAAAAAAATAGATTGCGCGTAAAAAAAATATATGATAGAGTTATTTGGGGTATGAATAAATTAGTGGATAGAGGAAGAGATCACGACAAAGTGGTATTGAAAAAAAATATGGCAATGGAATGGGTTGAGGTCCGGCAAGCAGCCAAGGTAAAGGCTGCCACCCGTCGGTGAAGCAAAATTACTAGGTATTTAACCTAGCTTTGATACCAAAAAGAATTATTTGGCTTTTTCATGAATGTGGTAGAGGCCATGTATTTATAATAGATTCATGATACAATTTAGGAAACGATATAAATAAGGAAACAATACTAAAGCAGTGATTGACACAATCACAAATTATATACATAAATACTTAAAAAAAAAGATTCTATGTACTCTAATTTCTATATTCAACCAAATAAATAAAGAGAACGCAGAATGAGAATCAAAATTACCTTCAATTGGATTCGTCGATTTTGATAAGTAAAAAAGTACAACTTTGTTGTTTATAACTTTAAGAATACATTCCATAATTTCACTATTCATAATTTTCACCATAAAAATCATAATTTTCTTACCATATCACCTATTTAAGGTTGCAGAACAACCCCCAAATGAGTCTTCCAAACGTTATGTCTTTAAGCAATTAGTACTGCTATATGTACCAATTAGTATATTAATGTTGTGTTTGGTTAAGGGATTTGAAAAGAAAAAGAGAAAAAGTATGTGAAATTAGGTGAAATATAGGTATATTTTATTCATATTTCATCTACCTTTTCCGTTTCCCTTCCCACAATATCTTACTATTTTAACCAATAAAAATAATCAACGGGGGTAGCTTGATTGGCTGGAACTCCTACACCTCATTAAGAGGTTAGTGGTTTGAATTTCTCCACTTGTGTATGCATCTTAATCCCTACATATTTATTGGAGCTTTCTCTCCCCGAGATGAATGACTCAATGTTGACCTTTAAAAAAAACTGAAAAGATTG